ACGTATGACTATAACCTTGCTTGTATCTTTACAATTTATATTGTTTTATTTGTTTCCTAGTATGATTTGATTGCTTATTAGTAACCTATGACTATCACTAAATGTTATAGCTTACAATTCTTGATGAATGTATTCTATTTTATTTTTCTTTATGTACACTGAGTATATGTGCACCAAAGACAAATTTCTTGTGTGTCCAATCACCCTTGGTCAATAACGAATTCTATTCTATTTTATTTTAGTCTAGTCTAGTCTAATCTAATCTAAAATGGGTGTCTGTAGAAATATGCTACTGAATATATGGATGAATTCTTTTTCCTCTTTCTTTCATTTGTCCACTTTCAAGACTCTTCAGCTTCTGCTCCTCTCTGTCATATTTCTCCCCCCCCCTCTTCTTTTCAAATAGTTTTGTTTCCTGCTCCTTTCCTGGATGTGGTAACAGCAAAGGCTGAAAGGGGACACTTTCTTGACAGCAGAGATGTTTTAGGGGTCATTGTGAGGTTAACAGGTGTGATCCCACTTAAAAGGCCATTTAATAAGACTTTCAAGGGAATGAATTATTTAAGTGCCAACAGATTTAATTAGGCTAATGTAAGTAGATATGTCACCTGCTGCTTAAAATGGCACCTCTGAATGGACTTTTTCTAAATGTTAGATTCCAATTCTGCATTAAATGTTTTCTTCTTTGTCACCAGCAAATGAAACTGAAGGCTGCCTTTGACCCTTGGAATCAAAGAATATATCAACTGAAGATAATCTAGTCTAGCCCCCTACTCAATTCATGAAGGCACTAAAACATCCTCAAATGTGGATATCCAGCCTGTGCCTAAAAATCTACAACAAGGGGAAGTCTCTTGCTCTTCTAGACTAGCTATCCCATTGCATAATAACTTTCTGTTGAGAAATTCCTCAGGAGCTCCATTTTTTAAAAAAATTCAACCCCATCGGTCTTTGTCCTGCTCTCAGTTTCAATTGGAAAATTATCTTGCTGTCAGGTCCCATCGATCTCTATTGGGACCTTGCCATTCCAGTTGGAAGCGGGAGGACTCAGGTTACACTTGCATGGGATTTTCTTTCTTCCTATTTTCTGCTTTACCTTTGGGAATATTAGAATGGGGGAAGGAATGTGCCTTGGGCCATCTGTTTTGTCCCAACATCGGAGAAACGAGATCATGGTGCCTGGGAACTTCCTGTATCACCTTCCCAGCCCAAAGTTCTCACAACATCTCCTCGCCTTGGGATTGGCTCAAAGATGAACTGGACATTGGGAGGGGCCTTGAAAGGAGTGGTTCAAGCTAACACACCAGCATGCGAAATTCAGATTCTGTCTACACTTTCTTTGTTATCATTGTCTTGTTCCTTTTGAAATGCCATTTGTTTCAAGAGTTCTGCTTCCTTGAGAAAGTTGGCAAGGCAGGACCCTATATTAGACAGAATCTACAAAGTGGTCAACCTGGAGAGGCTACAGCCCTATCATGGGGACCATGCAAAGAATGTCCAATCAGGGCAGCGATCATCAGGAAGCCAAATGTAGTGAGAAGGCCCCCATCAAGGCTCAACCCAATGAAATCCCCAGCATGTGGATGAAGGACAGACTCATTCTGGGCAATTCTGCAAACCCAAGATGGTTAGTCAGTGTAGGGAAAAAGGAGGACTCAGATGGGAGAGCCCAAGGAATCACTTTTACCCAGGGCAGCTGACAGCAGGGGCAGAAGCATGAGTTGAAAACCCTGTATGACAACTACGAGATGGAGGAAGCATGGGGCCAATCCAACCAACTCATGAAACAAGCAATGCACCTCGTGATGGAGGCCCTCCAAGGCATGAGAGTCCAAGAAACCAGAGCCTGTGCCACTGGAGATGAAAGGGGGGGAAAGGAGACCACTGATGAGCAAGGGGGTTCTCCAGCTTAGGGACTTCTACATGTGCCACAAATAACACCAATGAATCCATCATCACCCCAGCAAACACACCTTGGAGAGACCCAGGTAGAGTGCAAGTTCCTTGCACTGGTGGGACATCCACAGAATAGAAGGCACCCTCCCCAGGCGTAAAATGTAATGGATACCCCAGAAACTGGTATTCTTCCTGGCACATGTGCTTACATACATGCAGGAGTATGGGAGGAATCTCTCAACCAAGGTGGTGAGGGTCAGGATTGTCACCCTGGCTCTGGAGGGGGCTGCTACACACTGGATGGTGACCCTCCACAATGCAGATGCCCCAGAGCTCCAGAATTTCAACTGCTTCATGACGGCCCTGTGGTACAGATTTGAGGACCCCCTCACTGATCAAAAAGTCAGGGACTGCATCAGAACCATAAAGCAAGGCCGCCAGCTGGTAGCTGAATACACCAAGGAGTTTTGAGACCTGGTCTGCCACATGGAGTGGCACAGACCCAAAGTAACTGCCTCAGCACTCTTCAGGGAAAAGAAAAATTACTCACTTCGAACATGTGCCGATTATAGGGATCTCAATGTAGTGTGCGTGTACCCACTGCCCCTCATGAAGGACAGGCTGGCCAACCTTTCAAAGGGCAAGATTTTTTTCTAAGCTGTACTTACATGAAGCCTATTACTGAGTCAGAATTCGGGAGAGAGATAAGTGGAAAATGGCTTTTAACTGCCCACTGGGGTGTTTCCAATTTAATGTGCTTCCGTTGCTGATAAATGAGGTGCTGCATGAACACCTATATAAAGGCGTTTTGGTGTACCTTGATGACATTCTGATACGTACCAAAACAAAAGCTGAGTACATAAAGCTGGTCTGGGCACTCCTGA